TTTATCAATAGTACAATTGGGTATGCTATTTTTTTTTGTAAATGGATTAAAACAACCCCAAACTTCAGATGCATACAATAAAATAGGTTTAATTGTATGGTCAAAAATATGAATAGTGGTTTTAACCTCAGGATTCAGGGAAATGAAATTTTTCCTGAGTTTAAAAAATGATTTTAATGCATTTTTGATAAAGCTGCTTTTGAGAAAAGGAGAAAGAACCCGAAGAACAAAATGTCACACCTAGATATTTGTATTCAGACACACATTCCAGTTCGACATCATCGAGGTAAAATTTTGTTTTGGAGAGTCTACCTGCCTTGTTAAAAACAACTATCTTTGTTTTAGATGTATTAAGACAGAGACACCAATCGTTGCAGTATTGCTGTAGAAAATTAAGTTCTTGTTGTAAACCTTCCGCTGTGGAGGAGAGTAGAATTATGTCATCAGCATACATCAAACATTTAACTGAATTTGAATTTAAATAAACAGGGTCAGTAGCTGAGTTCAGGTAAACTGGAAGATCATTAATAAAAATTTTAAATAAATTGGGACTAAGATTGTCACCTTGCTTCACTCCCAAAATTATTGGGAAAAAGTTAGTAATCTTATTATCGACTCTGACACAGGATTTACTTGATGTATACATACTTTTCACTACTTCATAAAAATTTGTTCCTACCCCTATTTTGAGGAGTTTAATTTTGATTCCTGTGTGTATAACAGTATCAAAGGCTTTTTGAAAATCAACAAAGCAGGCATATACTCTACCATCTTTAGTATTACAGTACTTATCAATAATTGTCTTGAGTATATACATATGGTCTGATGTTCTTGCTTTTCGAGTGAAGCCGATCTGATAATCACTTATTATATGATGTTTTTCTAAAAATTTATCCAGTCGAATGTCTAGTATTTTATTAAATAACTTTCCTATTGCATTTGTAACTGTAATGCCCCGATAGTTGTTTGGATCAGAACTATCATTACTTTTATAAATAGGAATAATGTACCCAGAAGACCAAGGTTTTGGATAATATCCAAATGTAAGGCAACAGTTGAATATTTTATAGAGACATGGTAGTAAAAAAGTTTGACTACATTTGATCATATGGTTTGAAATATTGTCAAGACCTGGGGCTTTTCCATTTTTTAATTTTGAGATAGCATTTGAAATTTCTGCTACAGATATATGATTATCAAGTTCACTAAAACATTTAGTTTTTTCCAGATTGGTAAGAATATTATCAAGCTGCGCCAGACGTTGGGCATACTTGGGTTTTGGTTGGTTTAGATTTTGGAAGTGAGAGACCCAGGTGTTTGGATCGATTGCGTCCGAACTGTTCGTGTTTTCAGTACCTTGCAGCTTATCAATAAGATTCCAATAAGATTTTGGGTTTTCTTCATGTAGAGTTTCTAACTGTTTTAGCAGAGATTGTTTATACTGTCTGCATTTGTATTTCCTTGTTTTGGTATATTCTCTATACAGTTTGTAATAGTGATTTCTGACAGCGGGATCTTTGGGGTATTTAGTATATATCTTTGCGTAGCTAAATAGATTTCTTCTCATAGAATTCAAGTCTGAATCAAACCATTTTTTAAGGTTTTTGTTCGTCTTTCTGCAATTTTTTTTTGCATTTTCTAAGGGACTTATCTGCAGTATTAATAAGGATATTAGATAATTCTAATGTAGCATTATCAATTGTCGAGGGAGAATTAAGATTAGGTCCATTTAAAAGATTATGTAATTTTCTTTGAATGTCCTCTGAATTAAGAGCGGCTTCGAAGTGAGCAGAAGAATCATCAGACCAAATGTAGTTAGGAGATACAGGACTTGAATTGACATCATCCATATCAGATTTAAGACAAGACCTGGCAGATAGTGACCATTGCAACAAACAGTGGCAATCAGACAAAGCAGGTAAAAATTCTGATACTCTAAAATACAATAGTATTTGGTTTAGTATTTTTTCTGAAACCAACACATAGTCAACTGTGCTACATCCGTTATTCACCTTTTTCAACAGTGATAGCACCAAACAGATTTATAAGATCGGGACGATAATTTTACGTTCTAATAGATTTTTTTTAATGAATTGCAAAAACAGAGGGGTGAAAATAACTTCGCTTTTGTGATAAATTACGGTGAAGTGCAAAAATAACTTCGCATTTGTAATAACTAACGGTGAATTTTGGAGATCAATAGGGACTATTGCGCCTCAGACGCACCCTAAACACCCTAAAGCAACAATAAAAAAATTCTCTCTTTTTTATTTTTTTAAGCCAAAAGCAGGCCCATTTTGACATTTTAAAGAAAGGTAACTACGATCGGTTGTAATCCGAATGGACAGGAAAATGTCTGTAATCGAAAACGATGTTACGGATCTTAGATCAAGGTCTATGTCGAACAATATCCTTATAAGTTATTCACAAATATCATTACGAACCCAACGAGAACCTAAACACGTCGATGCCATTTACTTTTAAAGAACTTTTTGGGGTGAATGTCAGTTTTGTAAAGATTCAAACAAATGGGGCGCGTCCAGAATATAATTCTGATCGACCTGCAACCATTGCTGCAAAGCTGACTTACCGTAGTAAAATCAACACAATTCGATATGCCTAAAAACTAAAGCTAAAGAAAATTGCTAAACAACCATTGCCTTTCTTTATTACTACGCAGCAACTCGCATCTATTGTTTGCGCTCGAAACAAGGTGTATGATACGGCAGAGTCTTTGCGCAGTCAAAACATCACTGTTAAGATTCAAAAGAATCAGGTCAACTTGGCCAACGGCTCCAGATAGAAATATGACATACCATTTCTAACAAATGCAGATTATTTATTACTGAAGAGACGGAAAACTTAGAATCTTTATGGATTACTATTTTATTCTCAGTGGCATATCCGATATGATTTATATACCCTCAAATCATGCGTTGTCGTGGCATTACATTAAATTTTTAATTTAGTGCTTCAAGACTGAATAATTGAGATGTTTGCTATTTATCACATATACAAACAATAATTCTCCTTATTTTAAAATAATTTTAACTCATAAATCATTTGTTATTTGTTCAGAAGGTCATTGAATTCTTGCATAGTTGCTCTTTCGATTTTTTTTTTTTGCCGACGTCATTTGTTTTCGTGGTAAATATAACAAGTAAACTATGGAAATCTAGTCGGGCAAACTCCTTATAAATGTTACAGAGTCAAAAATTCTAGTTTATTTACAAAATGATTACATTATCTGTCATGAAAATTTATTGGTGTAAATTAAGACCACATCTATCTAGGTATGATTAAGCTGTATTGCTAAAAAAATGTAAAAAAAAAAATTCTTTCTGAAGAGTGGTGTAGAAGTTATTTTGAAAAGCTTTATTTGAATGTTTCATGTTTTTAAATATAATTCCATGCATATTTAAAGAAATTAAATGATTAATTCAATGAATAATCAATGGCACAATATTTTTTAAATCATATTATGTTTTTAACAAACCCGATATTTTCTTTGAAAAATGATGTTACTAGATCACCGTAGAAAAGAATCAAAAGTGGTAAATTCCAAATTATTGCCACATGACCGGTAGCTGTATGAATAGTTAACAGACGATGGTATGCTATTAGTTTGTAAGTTTGGTATTCTAGTTCAAAACACAATGCATTGGTGTATATTACACAAATTGTCAAATTTGCGAACTATCCAAAACTCACTCGCTAATGTTTTATTTGGTCAAAGGCAAAAAAGGTTTAACATTTGGTCAGAGTACATGCACAGGGTCCCTTTTATTAATAACAAATATGACGTCATTTCGATCTCAGGTCGTACGATTATTCGTAAAAATAAAAAAAAAAAATACCACGAAAATGTATAGACTACGAAAACACATTACGGGACGGTATGAAATTGTCTTTGCCCTATCGGCCAAATCTCTAACAAGACTTGCATTTCTATCACTCTATGATGCATGTGACTTTAATATGTTTACGGTGTGTCCGTTGGGGAGACCGCAATTGTACCATCAAAAACACTTGAAAAATTGATCAGCCACTTCAAACATCAAGCCGCACGAGACATCTCGACTAGCTGTGACATCACACGACGTCACATAGATCGTTGGATCTTACGGAGACAGTCGAGTTTCTGGTTGAAACTATATAGACCTAGGCTAGTGCAATTTTGGTCGAAAAGCATTATAGAGTTATTTTTTGCTTCTTTTAAAGATTTCTACAAACTGAATCCTTTTATGGCCATGGTTTACGTTATTATTTATTTATTCCCGCAAAAGACATTGGGTAGTAATGGAATTCTGGGAATGTTTCACACAAATTTGGCCTGACGTATGTACAAATTTCATTCCAAATTTCCTCTGTTCTTACACGTTAGTCTAATGGGGATATGAGACATATTTTAATTCAGTTTCGTCAAAATCAAGAGGTGTAGCTATATTTTTTAATAATACTTTTGAACACAAGGTTCATAATAAAATATCTGATGATGAAGGGAATCTTTTGGCTTTAGATTTAACAATTGAAAACAAGCGTCTGAGTTATTACAATATATGGACCGAATGAGGACACACCCAACATTCAAATCAAGATGTTACTTTGGTAGGAGATATTAATCTAGTTTTAGACCCAGAAAAAAGATTATTTTAATAAAAAATATATTAACAATCCAAAGGCAAGAAGTAAAGATCTAGAAATAATCTATGATTATGATTTCATTGATAAATTTAGAGAAATGCAGCCGGATGAAACAATATATACTTGGCGTTAACCGTCCCCTTTTAAACAAGCAAGATTAGATTTCTTTCTTATATCAAATTTTCATTTAAATAGTGTTGACGAAAGTAAAATTCTAAATAGTTATAAATCTGATCACTCAAAGGTCACCAATATATCTAAAGATTGAATTCAATGAGTTTACTCATGGAAAAGTTTTGTGGAAATTTAATAACTCACTTCTGTAGGTATTTGAGTTTATGTTTTACTGATTTTAGTGTGACCAGGTGTCACGTGAGAGAGAGGGAGGGACCATAGAGTTAGAGAGGAGCAAGTGTGTGTCGGTGCCTGGACGTGTGTCGTCGTAACATTTGTGCAATTCTGTCAGTCATTGCTATTAACTTTGTTTATTATTACAATACATTATTGTTAAAACGTTTATTCGAGTCTATCGTCCATATTCAAGTGTTACATTTCTTATAGATATCAAATATATTGAAGCAGTTATTCAGAAAGCAAAGGAAAATTATGCATAACGTATCTATTCTAAAAAATATCTCCACGAAATATCAGATGCAGAAATTCAGTTTACTATAGACGAACAGCTTTTCTATGAAACACTCTTAATGGAAATTAGAGGCAAGACTATTTCTTTTTCTAGTTATGTAAAGAAAAAAAGCAATGAGAGAGTGAAAATCAGTTATTTTCATAGAAATATCGTATGGTCTAGAGTAAAATAGATGACTGAAGGAGAAAAAACCTACTAATTATTTTCTAAACCTTGAGAACAGACACTATACAAATAAAATAATCCATAAATTGATAAAATAAAAAAAATAATTTAATTTTAAAATTAAGATTTAATTTAAAAATTAAAATTTATCCATAAATAAATAAAGATAAACAATAGATTCAGAAACTAGGAGACTTATTGTTCACAGAACAATAAGAAGTCTTTCCACCTTCTTTGAATTTCATTTTGTTTTTTTTATATCTGACTACTTAAAATTAAATTCCATGAATAAGAAATCAAAATTGACCTAAAGGATAAAAAAATGAAGTTTAAAAAAAATTGAATGACCTTAACCTTAGACTTTGAAAAAAATATTAAAGGTCAAAGGTAAAGGATCATAATACAATTGCCCCCATGCTTCTACGACTTATAGTTTTCAAGTTATAAGGTTTAATAGTAAGTACAAAGATGTTAAAAGGGCAATTACTCATAAAAGGGGTCATCAGATCCTTTCGCACTTTTACAGTGAAGTTATGCCTAAAGAACCTTAAGACTTTAGTGAAGGTTTAGTGTTTTTACGGTCTACGGTTTCGGAGGAGTAGCGATAACAAAGTTTTTCGCACAAGGGGCAATAACTTTTGATAGGGTCAATCTAAGGGGACAAGAATGAAATCTTTGAAATAGTTTTAAGAGTACATATTAATGATGCAAAGACATTAAGTATATGGTGAAAGACAAAAGAGATATAAAAAGAGATTAATTTCTCATTTTTGGAATGACCTTGACCTTTGACTTTTGCATAAATGTTAAGGACGAAGGTCACTGAATCTAATGCAGTTGGTCCCATGTCTCTACGACTTCTCGTTTTGAAAAATTTTAATTATTTGTAAAATTCAAAAAGTTTCAGGGGCAATAACTCATTGAAGGGGTTTACGAATCCTTTCGCAATTAATAGTTTGAAAGGTCCTCTCAAGTAGTCGTAGACATTGGTGAAGGTTTCATACCTCTACGGTTTACGGTTTCGTCGGAGTAGCGATAACAAGCATTTCTTGCGTAAGGGGCAATAACTTCAAAAAGGGTCAAAGATCGAATATGGGGGGTCATTTTTCGGAATAACTTTTAACATCCAGTATCATGAACAATAAAGATTTTCGATAAGCCTTGCGGTTTCAAAACATCTCCAGAAATAAAATGATAACTAGGAGACTTATTGTTCACATATACAGCTGTATACGTTGTATATGAAATAGGTTTGGCTATATGAAAATTATCTTGAATACAATTTTAAGTTCAGATCAGAATGGTTTTGTACCCGGAGGATACATAGGAGAAAATACCAGGTTAATCTATGATCTAATGCATTATACAGAAGAAAGAAATATCCCTCGTATGTTGTTAATGATTAATTTTGAAAAATCATTTGACACAGTGCCATGGAATGTTATTGATAAAGCCCTTAAATTCTTTAATTTCGGTCCTTCTCTAAGAAGGTAGGTTTCATTATTTCAATGTAAATTCCAATGTAATATTGTATTAGCAATCAATCAAGCAGGCCACCTATATTATTTCTTTAAGCTAGGCCGTGGTTGTCGCTTGGGTGATCCAATTTCACCATATATATTTTTACTATGTGCAGAAATTTTAGCTTTAAAAATAAAAAGATAATACAAATATGAAAGGGCTTAAAATCGATGGGGAGGAATACCTAATGTCTCAATATGCAGATGACACACTAGTTATACTAGAGGGTACAGAACTATCCCCAGGAAATTGTATTGAAGAAATAACTCAATTTTATAAATTATCAGGACTTAAAATTAATCTCTATAAAACACAAATAGTCTGGATGGGAAGCAAAAAATATTCAAATGAAAAACTACGTAATGAAATTGAATTTTCAATGGACAAGGTATTTATTCTGATACTGACTTAACTAGAGTTCCAAAACTCAACTATGACAAACAGCGGTCAAAATTAAGAATATAATACTACAGTGGAGTAAAAGACTTACTACCCCCTTAGGTAGGATTTCACTTATAAAATCAATATTAATAGCACAGTAAAACCATCTTTTTTATTGCTTTACTTTCTGAATATTTTGTTAAAAATCTAAATAGTGTTTTATTTCATTTTCTTTCATGATCAGAAGTAGACAAGATAAAAAGAAAATAAATTACTCAAGATAACAAGAGTAGAGCATTGAATATGATTGACTTAAATAACTACAATAAGAGCTTAAAATCATCTTGGAAGCTCACTCCTGCATGGTACCTGATCCCACCTCTGATGTTTCGGAGGTCAGATGTTTTCGAAATGCGTCAATATCATCATTTTCTGAAAAAGTATACAAAACTGGCCAATTGTTGAAGCTATTTTTCTATATTTAATATGGAGCGCAACCTCTGATCTTAAATATTCAACTAGTAAATGATAGCACTGTTTCTGGGAATTCAAAGACATGTTTTATTTTTTAGATCAGAGAGTGCGCTCATATTATTTTTCTTCACTGAAAGACTCAGATATTCCTATTTGCCTTAAAATTTAAGACCATTCCAATTTCATAGAGCTAGTTCTCCAAGACCTGGATTTTTATGAGAAAAAAAAATTATTAAACATTAAAGCACTAAGTCTCTTTTTTATTTAAATGCTTCAAATGGAACATCAAGTAATAATCAATCGATCAACTTGTATACCTACAGGGCCATTTTATGCATGAAGTAAACCAAGCTCTTTTTAACCTAATGACAAAATCTTATACAATTTTCCCACTATACTTCGTAAACAGTATTCAGGTTAACGATTGAAATGTAAATCTATAAGAAATATTGCTGATTTCTTTTAAAAAGTCTGTTTGTGTTATTTATCCATAAGGCTGGCTTTAAAACAGGCATCGATATTACTTATGCAGCAATATACCTTCATCACATGCATACGGATTGTATATATCTCAGTTGATTCAATACGCAAGAGCATGCTCTACGTAGGAACAATTTCTAAAACGAGGTAAATTTCTGACAAGCAAGTTTATGAAACAAGAATATTAGCAGTCTCGTTTAAAGTCACCATTTCGTAAGTTCTATCGTCGATACAATGGCCTTGTCAGCAAATACAATTTATCATTAAGTCAAATGCTGACTGGCGTTTTTTAGTCAGTTAAAATTACTAATTGTAAGTCCATTATTTATACATTGAATCGACGACAGATTTTTCCGTTATTTCCCGATCATGACAAGGAGCACACTTTGCTTATTTGTTTCACCAAACAGAGGTTTTAGGGTTAGTCCTCGAGCGTACAACCCGCGACTTAAGGATCCACTCCTTACTTTGCGACTCTAGAACAGACGTTCGATCCTCTGCCCCATGCGGGCGACGAAATACACTAGTAATGAAGCTTTTCGTCATTTCATAATTTGAATACATAATATACCAACTTATTAATGGTGTTATTAATAAAACTTTACTTCAAACACCCTAAAGCAACAGAGCAGCAGTCATTTGTTACATTGATGTGGTTCATGGGCCCCTTGTTTCCTTAAGCGGGGGAATAAGCTTTGATATAGAAATGTGAGAAAGTAAAATCATTTCAAGATTAGCAAAGCTTTGATCAGTTATTTTGAAAGGCAATGTTTAAACTTGATATTTTCACGTCTAGACAATACAATTTCCTCCAAGTCTAAAAATATTTTCGTAAGTTCTATTTTCAATACAATGACCATGTCAGCAAATACAAATTATTATTGAGTCAAATGCTGACATTTTTTCATACCAATTGTTAGTCCATAATTTATACACTGAATTGACGACGGGTTTTCCGTTATTTCACGATCATGACAATGAGCACACGGCGGGTGTGACCGGTCATCAGAGGAAGCTGACTCCTCCATTGCATCTGATCCCACTTCTGATGTTTCAGAGGTCCGTGTTTGCTCTGCTCCTATTTTGTTTTGTTTTATGGACTTTGAGATTGAATACTGCTCGTTATCTCCATATTCTTCTTTCATGAGTGTAAAGAGTCAATACTTACATGGATAGAAAACACCATTACACGAAAAACGTTAACTGTAGGTTACATGCATAGATTTATAAAAGATTATTTGCGTGCAGATGAAGTTATTAAAAATATATATGTTTTAGGAAAGATATATTTACGCCGTCTTTATCGATTCTTTCATATTTTGTAAAGGCTGGAATTGATAAAAGACGTCTGCTTGTCATCAATGAACATGAGGCTGTATCTTTATACTGCAACAATACCCCTTTGGTTGTTTGTACTTGTGAAGGACATGAGTTTATTACGTTTCAACCTGGACACAAATTTCTGTTGATTGATGTTGGAGGTAAGTATATATTTCTATTTTATTATCTATTTTTTTTCGTTCATTCACAGATTGACTTATGACTTTGTGGTTCATGATATTAACTTAATCGTTATTTAAAATTTGAACAACATATTTTCGTGTAGTTATTGCATGGAATGCCAATGCTGCCCGAAGGCCACTTGCATATTACAGCAAACACGGTTATTAAGAACATGGATATTGCGAATTCACGGATATAAAGAAGTTATCTTGGATCCCCAGATTCATAAATTTAACTAATTCCTTATACGGTTATTACGAAT